CCAACGTCTTAGTGGTGCTGACCTCTTCGAGATCAAGAAAATCAGTTGAAAGTAGATGCTCTTTAGGAAGTGCTTTAAGGAGTGCACGTTCATTCGATGTCCACTTTCGTTAATGGTAGGACTGAAGATTTGGTTCGATTTGGGGATGATGTAAGGATAAGCCTGATTTGGGTCTATTGAGTTGGAGTAAGTGGTTTCAAAAAACTGAGCAAAAAGATCGGCTATTGCCTGATCATTATCTGCTGTTGAAGTATCAAAAGAGAACGAGGACGGACCAGTAATGGGTTTACGCTTAGATTTAACAAAATTATAAAACTGTTTTGGCATAATCCGTCCGGCATAATCCATGCGCGTATACGTAAAGGGCCGCGAAAAAGACGTTCTTTCTTTCGGTAATTTGCCCATGAGTTGAGTCTGCAACTTCATTTTGTGGATCACACATATATTGCAGGAGGAAATTACTGACTTGACTAAATTCTTTACCCTTGGTATCCAGAATTTTGAGCGGATCAGACGTACCACTAGCTGGTTACCGCCGTGCAGAGATATGCGATGCGTAAAGGATACAAGGAGACGCGCCAACTGACAGTTGTATGGAAGAAAGATCGGATGCCGTTCATCATATTGGAGGACTTCGGAGGCCGTCACCCGACCACACGCCCTGATGAGGCCGTGAGGATCAAGGAATGGATTCATGTTCTTAATAGAACTGGATGCCGGAATTGGCCGCTTTTGGCTCAGGCAGGCATATTCAAGCGCAAAGTATCTGCGTTGGGTCATGAAAATTAGGAGCCGCTCAGCTGTGGGAATCTCTGTATTGGATAGCTGCAGCTCGCCTGGAATAGGTCGTTTTTGCGAGCGTTGGATGAACATAGGCGAAAACTCGTAGTGCCTTGTCGAGCTTGGAGAACCGCTCAAGCATGTCCTGCTCCGGGCTTGCTAAATGGCAACGTATAGGTCACTTCTCGATGTCGATGTCGGAAACTGGTTCGTAAGGCGCAGGCCAGGTGTCTTGTGGCTGAGTTAGCCAGGAAGGCCCATGCCACCACAGCTCACTGGTAGCCAGCTCTTCAGCCGCTACTCCACGACTGGCTAGATCTGCTGGGTTGTGCTCGGAACGCACGTGAGACCACTGGCTGGCATCAGTATTTTGAGCGATTTTGGTAACTCTGCTTGCGACGAAGGTTGTCCACTGACATGGTGGCTTGTTCAACCATGCCAGCACAATAGTGGAATCAGTCCATAGAAAAGATTCTATACGACCGAAAGGAATCTGAGGAAGAATTGCAGTCCACAAGTCTGCCAGAAGGACGGCTCCACACAGTTCTAGACGCGGGAGCGAGACGGTTTTTACCGGAGCGACTTTGGTCTTTGACGTCGGAAGATTTGATGAAATGATTCCATCACGCTGGATGCGAACGTAAATCGCTGCGCCATAAGCCTTTTGGGAAGCATCACAGAAACCATGGATTTGGACTTCCGGTTGAAATTGTACCCAACGCGGGATGCGAACTTGGTGGAGGAAACTGTAGCTCCGAAGGAAATCATGCCAGCGATGTAGTAGTTCTGCAGGAAGTAACTCATCCCATTCGGCGCTGTAGTTTGCCTGTATGGTGACCTCTGTTGGGACAAAATAGAACTCATCCGCCGTAGCGTTCCACCGTACTCCCAACGTCTTAGTGGTGCTGACCTCTTCGAGATCAAGAAAATCAGTTGAAAGTAGATGCTCTTTAGGAAGTGCTTTAAGGAGTGCACGTTCATTCGATGTCCACTTGCGGAGAGGGAATCCAGCTGAGGTCAGAGCTGCTCGCAACTCCTGAATGGCTAAAATAGCTTCAGCTTCTGTATGGGCTCCTGCTAGCACATCGTCGACATACATATAGTTTGAAATTATATGCGACGGCCGTGGATATTGGACGTTGACATCGTCGGACAATTGTTGCAGTGTTCGTAGGGCCAGAAAAGGGGCACAATTCACTCCAAACGTGACCGTCTAAAGCTCGAAGTCGGATATATCCCCTTGGCCATTTCGAAAGAGGATTCTCTGAAACGGGGTGTGTTCTTGGTTTAGGAGAATTTGCCGATACATCTTGGTGATGTCGGCATTGAAAACGAATTTAAACGTCCGCCACTTCAGGATTTGAAGAGTGAGATCGGACTGCAGTACTGGCCCTGGATACAGGATGTCATTAAGGCTGTTCCCATTGGAAGAAGGACTGAATGCGTTGAAAACTACGCGAACTTTTGTCGTCGCACTTTCGGGCTTGAATACTGCGTGATGGGGTAGATAGAAATTTATTTTGTCGGTATTCGGAGGCACCGGCTTCATATGGCCAAGATCGATATATTCTTGGATCACTGAGTCATAAGTGTCTTTGAGAGTGGGCTCCTTCTTCAAGCGAGTCTCATTCCTCAGAAATTGTGAGAGTGCGGAACTGCTCGAATGCCCCAAGTAAATGTGCTCTGAATCCTTGAAGGGCAGGGATACTATATATTTCCCGTCGCAGGATCTGGTAGTTGTTCGGACGAAAAAGTCTTCACACAACTTGTCCGTCTCCTTTCCCACTCCACATGGAAGGTCCTCCACCTCCCAAAATTTTGTGAGAAGTGTTTCCATGGTTGCTTCGGACTCTATGGATATCTGTGTGGTAAAAGACGAAACCATACTAGTGGTTGAAGACACTGGGCCGGTCAAAATCCACCCGAAAATGGTCTCTTGCGCTAATAAAGACCCACATACGTTTGGCCTCCAGCCTGATAGCAGGACAGACGGGAAGCATCACAGAAACCATGGATTTGGACTTGTACTCCCGGTTGAAATTGTACCCAACGCGGGATGCGAACTTGGTGGAGGAAACTGTAGCTCCGAAGGAAATCATGCCAGCGATGTAGTAGTTCTGCAGGAAGTAACTCATCCCATTCGGCGCTGTAGTTTGCCTGTATGGTGACCTCTGTTGTGACAAAATAGAACTCATCCGCCGTAGCGTTCCACCGTACTCCCAACGTCTTAGTGGTGCTGACCTCTTCGAGATCAAGAAAATCAGTTGAAAGTAGATGCTCTTTAGGAAGTGCTTTAAGGAGTGCACGTTCATTCGATGTCCACTTTCGTTAATGGTAGGACTGAAGATTTGGTTCGATTTGGGGATGATGTAAGGATAAGCCTGATTTGGGTCTATTGAGTTGGAGTAAGTGGTTTCAAAAAACTGAGCAAAAAGATCGGCTATTGCCTGATCATTATCTGCTGTTGAAGTATCAAAAGAGAACGAGGACGGACCAGTATTGGGTTTACGCTTAGATTTAACAAAATTATAAAACTGTTTTGGCATAATCCGTCCGGCATAATCCATGCCCGTATACGTAAAGGGCCGCGAAAAAGACGTTCTTTCTTTCGGTAATTTGCCCATGAGTTGAGTCTGCAACTTCATTTTGTGGATCACACATATATTGCAGGAGGAAATTACTGACTTGACTAAATTCTTTACCCTTGGTATCCAGAATTTTGAGCGGATCAGACGTACCACTAGCTGGTTACCGCCGTGCAGAGATATGCGATGCGTAAAGGATACAAGGAGACGCGCCAACTGACAGTTGTATGGAAGAAAGATCGGATGCCGTTCATCATATTGGAGGACTTCGGAGGCCGTCACCCGACCACACGCCCTGATGAGGCCGTGAGGATCAAGGAATGGATTCATGTTCTTAATAGAACTGGATGCCGGAATTGGCCGCTTTTGGCTCAGGCAGGCATATTCAAGCGCAAAGTATCTGCGTTGGGTCATGAAAATTAGGAGCCGCTCAGCTGTGGGAATCTCTGTATTGGATAGCTGCAGCTCGCCTGGAATAGGTCGTTTTTGCGAGCGTTGGATGAAGCGCTGAACATAGGCGACAACTCGTAGTGCCTTGTCGAGCTTGGAGAACCGCTCAAGCATGTCCTGCTCCGGGCTTGCTAAATGGCAACGTATAGGTCACTTCTCGATGTCGATGTCGGAAACTGGTTCGTAAGGCGCAGGCCAGGTGTCTTGTGGCTGAGTTATCCAGGAAGGCCCATGCCACCACAGTTCACTGGTAGCCAGCTCTTCAGCCGCTACTCCACGACTGGCTAGATCTGCTGGGTTGTGCTCGGAACGCACGTGAGACCACTGGCTGGCATCAGTATTTTGAGCGATTTTGGTAACTCTGCTTGCGACGAAGGTTGTCCACTGACATGGTGGCTTGTTCAACCATGCCAGCACAATAGTGGAATCAGTCCATAGAAAAGATTCTATACGACCGAAAGGAATCTGAGGAAGAATTGCAGTCCACAAGTCTGCCAGAAGGACGGCTCCACACAGTTCTAGACGCGGGAGCGAGACGGTTTTTACCGGAGCGACTTTGGTCTTTGACGTCGGAAGATTTGATGAAATGATTCCATCACGCTGGATGCGAACGTAAATCGCTGCGCCATAAGCCTTTTGGGAAGCATCACTGAAACCATGGATTTGGACTTCCGGTTGAAATTGTACCCAACGCGGGATGCGAACTTGGTGGAGGAAACTGTAGCTCCGAAGGAAATCATGCCAGCGATGTAGTAGTTCTGCAGGAAGTAACTCATCCCATTCGGCGCTGTAGTTTGCCTGTATGGTGACCTCTGTTGGGACAAAATAGAACTCATCCGCCGTAGCGTTCCACCGTACTCCCAACGTCTTAGTGGTGCTGACCTCTTCGAGATCAAGAAAATCAGTTGAAAGTAGATGCTCTTTAGGAAGTGCTTTAAGGAGTGCACGTTCATTCGATGTCCACTTGCGGAGAGGGAATCCAGCTGAGGTCAGAGCTGCTCGCAGCTCCTGAATGGCTAAAATAGCTTCAGCTTCTGTATGGGCTCCTGCTAGCACATCGTCGACATACATATAGTTTGAAATTATATGCGACGGCCGTGGATATTGGACGTTGACATCGTCGGACAATTGTTGCAGTGTTCGTAGGGCCAGGAAAGGGGCACAATTCACTCCAAACGTGACCGTCTAAAGCTCGAAGTCGGATATATCCCCTTGGCCATTTCGAAAGAGGATTCTCTGAAACGGGGTGTGTTCTTGGTTTAGGAGAATTTGCCGATACATCTTGGTGATGTCGGCATTGAAAACGAATTTAAACGTCCGCCACTTCAGGATTTGAAGAGTGAGATCGGACTGCAGTACTGGCCCTGGATACAGGATGTCATTAAGGCTGTTCCCATTGGAAGAAGGACTGAATGCGTTGAAAACTACGCGAACTTTTGTCGTCGCACTTTCGGGCTTGAATACTGCGTGATGGGGTAGATAGAAATTTATTTTGTCGGTATTCGGAGGCACCGGCTTCATATGGCCAAGATCGATATATTCTTGGATCACTGAGTCATAAGTGTCTTTGAGAGTGGGCTCCTTCTTCAAGCGAGTCTCATTCCTCAGAAATTGTGAGAGTGCGGAACTGCTCGAATGCCCCAAGTCAATGTGCTCTGAATCCTTGAAGGGCAGGGATACTATATATTTCCCGTCGCAGGATCTGGTAGTTGTTCGGACGAAAAAGTCTTCACACAACTTGTCCGTCTCCTTTCCCACTCCAAATGGAAGGTCCTCCACCTCCCAAAATTTTGTGAGAAGTGTTTCCATGGTTGCTTCGGACTCTATGGATATCTGTGTGGTAAAAGACGAAACCATACTAGTGGTTGAAGACACTGGGCCGGTCAAAATCCACCCGAAAATGGTCTCTTGCGCTAATAAAGACCCACATACGTTTGGCCTCCAGCCTGATAGCAGGACAGACGGAAGAATATCCGCACCTAGAAGAAGGTCTATCTGAGAGGGCTGGAAAAACGACGGATCTGCCAATGGCATATTTGGCAGCCTATCAAGAATGATGCGATCAATTGTGCTTGTCGGAAGATTGCCGGCCAGGTTCGGCAGCACAAACGCCGTCGTGTCGATCTTGAGCATTGGTTTGGCCGGAGTGCCCATCTGAAAATGACACATTTTTTTGCGAGACACCGGAATTGGCTTGATTCAGCCCTGTAACTCTTGTTGTTACGGCTTGAAATGGAAGTTTGATCCGGTTGGCAAGCCTCTCGGAAATGAAAGTGCCTTCGGAGCCTGAATCTATCAGGGCACGTGCTGGAAAATTCTCTCCTCGGTGGCACACATGAACTATGGTCGTACCTAGAAGTGCTCCCTGCTGGTTGGAGGCGAAATGAAATGAAGTGTTTGAGATTGGCTGCTCAGGAGGGTGAGCCGGCGCTGTGCTAACAGCATTAGACGGATTATCTTTATGCAAGAGCGTATTATGCCGTCCCTTGCATGTGAAACAATTATGCCTGCTCGTGCATTCACGAAGATTATGTCCCCTTGCAAAGCAATTAAGGCACAATCTCTTTTGTTTAATATATGATGCTCTTTGTGGTTGAGTCATCTGGAGAAAGCGAGGACAAAGCCGAACTGGATGAGGCTCCCTGGAGCAGAGATCACAAAATCGTGCGCGTGGCCCGACTTGTGTCTCGAAGGTATTTACCCTCCTTGGCTGTGCACTTCTGGGCTCCTTGGAATGCTGTGTGCTGGAAGAATTGGGTCGGACATCCTCAATTGCTTCCAACGTGCATTATCTTTCTTCGAGAAAGGAATTCATCTCTTCCCAGGCTGGGATTGCGGACTTATTGCTCAAGAACTGCTCCCATAATGAGAGGGTGACCTTCGGCAACTTGGAGGAGATTAGGAAAATTAGCAGGCAGTCCCAATTTTCCGTGGAAACTTGTGAATGTTCATGGGCTATCAAGCACCCTTGGATTGTGCTCTGAAGATCTTTCAAGGCAGTGCCTGACTCACTGCCTATGGTCGGCAGACTAAACAGGATTTTTAGTTGGCTGTTTACCAACAATCGCTTGTTCTCAAAGCGATCTTGAAGCGCTGACCACGCGGATTGGAAACCATCATTAGTCAGCGGAGACTTTGTAGCAATGGCGTGAGCTTCGCCGCTAGTTCTAGTTCAAAGATCTCTGTATCGCATGGCGGAAGACTGACGGTCTCATACTCCTGTTCAACCTTTTCCTATAAGGACTGTATCTGATCCAGACGGATCTTTAAGGTAAACGATCTTGGCTCGGAAGGGGATGCCGTAAAAATCTGGCTTTCAAATTTGCTAAGACGGTCACTAGTTGCTATGAACTCAAGCAAAATACCATCTAAAGCGCTCTTGGCTTTGGATCTCAAATTACTTGAAGGTCCAGCGCCCGTGTCTCTCGGACTCGGTTCCCGCCTTTGGCTTCCATCTCTTGAAGGCGCTAACTGCGCTCCCTCCCTCTTCTAACTCGCGTCTTGGGGAATTGATTCTTGTCCTTCTGACATTTTTTTGGATTTCTTTGAGACTAGGCAGGAGTAACCGACTAACTAGATGAATGAAGCTGCTGGATTGAGCAGATTTCCCAAAATAGGATGGATTGCAAGAACATGCCGTAGAATTCGAATGGTAGAATTATTTGCTCCCAGTACCGTCAACTAAATCGAAGGAGTAACAATGTGAGACGGTAAAAACGATACAAAAACGGATGGCAAGAATATGCCGTGAAATTTGGATGGTAGATGGCAGATGGTGGAATTAATCAATCTCAGAATTAATCAATAGAATTCGAATGGTAGAAATTTTTGCTCCCAGTACCGTCAACTAAATCAAAGGAGTAGTGTAAGGAAGTTCTATGGCTGGGGTAGGTCTCAGTCTCGTCCAGGTCCTCTTTATCAGAAAAATTTATAAAGAAATGGGACAAAAGGCATTTGACGTGCGGTAAACTGACGTGAGATGGTAGTTGTCAGTTACCGGGATACGAAGCCAGAGAAATGGCTTGTCCGGTCTTTGCAATAGAGCGAAATAATCGGCGGAAGCGCGCTTTGGGTCGGGCCAATAGCAGACGCTATGGGGAGACCGAGAGAGGGGTCGATTATGGGGAGCACCGCTTCCTAGGGCAGAAGTTATGGCTTAGAAGCTAGGCATTTTGTGGTAATATATTCCTTGAGTCATGGCCAACGTGATTTGGGGTCGTCCCCTACGAGCAAATATTTAAATTTGGGTCGGAATAACCGGAAAAATATTTAATTTAGATTTTCTGTAATACATTTGCCGCGAAGATAAGGTCCACCCTTTTCGCCGGAATTCGACGTTGTAATAAAATATTTCATTATAAATTCCCAACTAATTTTTATCCCAAGACGATCGGGGCTGAGCGAAATATTTTTAATTTATAAATTTCAATGAAGTTTTAGAGAAGTTCGGGTCCACCCTTTTTTTCCTCTACATGTCTCGTTTGACAAAAGTTGGCGTAGGTCAAGGAAAATAACATGGCGATAGCGAGGGGAGTTTTTAGTTTCAAGCGAAATATATATATATATAACTTTATTATTAAATTCAGATTTCAGCGAAGGGTTTAATTTCTATTTATTTACATTTGTTCTGCGCTTTGGTTTCATTATTTTCTCATTCTTTTATTTCTGGGCTTAATTTATAAAAATTCTTCGCAGTGTTAGTTATTTAATTTTTCTAGCCTACTCTAGTGAAACCGCATCGAGGCCTTTGAGAAGTTTCTAAATGCACGTTACGCTCGCTGGCCAGAATGCGGTTCACCCTAATCACTCACCCGTCTGAAACTCCACGCACACACACACGCGCGATGTCTCCAAGTGCTCCGCCGCTGGTCCTGGGCCGGGCACACGCTCTCCGAGATCGCCTGGTTGATCTCCTCCTAGATTGTCGTCAGCCGGTGGCTGGAATCGGGCGCTCCTGATCGCCGCCGCTGTTGGCCTCGCGCGTCGAAGCTGACTCTCGCTGGCCACTGGCTGCATCGCATCCCTCCTGGTGGTCTCCTTGGTCACTTGGTACTTCCTCGTCGTCACTCGCTGCTCACTGTCAACCGCGCTTAGGAATCGCCAAATCTGGCTCGAAGTTTTACATATTTTCCCGCTCGCACTTCTGATCTAGTTCGCCGCCTCCGCAAAAGTGAAAAAAATATGTCATGCGTTTTGCAAGTTTCGGCCGCGCTGGTAATTTTCCACTTCTCGAAATTTCGGTGCATTCCTTCGCTCTCGCTCTTTCTTTGGCGCGTGCCAATTTTCGGGGGTTCTTTTGTGCTTGATCGTATGTCCTTTCTCTCTTGCTCCTGCACGGCGCTGGCTCCGTGGCCACTTGTTCGTGGTGAATATCTCTCTACTCTCCGGGTGTGTGTGTGTGTGTGTGTGCTAGTGGTGTGAGAACGGGGAGCAAAAGATAACTACGGATTATCGATTAAGCTTAAATCTATACAAATTATTAATTAAATCTAATACAAATCGTAAACTATAAATATACAAAGTTTTATTCTACAAATTCAGAACTGATTCGTGAGCGTTTTGTTTGAAGCCGGGTCTTGGCCGACGCCGGTTTGTTTTGGTTTTGGGCTTTCTACTGCTGTTATTGTTGCTGCTGACGCTGTTGTTGTTCGCTGCTGACGCTGTTGTTGTTCGCTGCTGGCGCTGTTGATATTGTTGGCTGCGGCTGTTGTTAATGTTCGGCTGCCGTTGACTCTGCTGTTGTTGTTGGCTGCGGGAGCTTTTTTTGTTGTCGGCGGCTGCGCGGTTGCAGTTGTAGTTGGCCGCCAGTATTTGTGGGGAGTCGAACGACTCCTCACATCCCCCTCTTTCTTCGGGGGCGCGAAAAAATGGAAATCTCGTTCTCCGCGGTGATGTGGACGCGGCGTATGTGATGGCCGCGGCCAGTGCTGGCGTCTCCTTCTCCTTGCCCGGGGAAGAATTTCCCGGGATGACGGTGGCCAGATCATCGTCGTCGTTGCTTGTGGTGGCGGCCGGGGCCAACGCCGGCACCCTCTCTCTCTCGGAGCTCGCGGTCACGTCTCCAGATGTCACTTGACGGGGAGCGGATGGTAACAGGCTTGGCACCACCGCTGCTGTCCAGGCGTGTATAGCCTCTTGGCCCAGGCCTGAGACGAGCTTTCTTGCGTCGAGCGGGCTGGCTGGTCTGTGTCAAATCGACGGCTTGGGTATGACGCGCTGTAGGAAAACAAAGTTTTATTAGCCTTTCATGTTTACTAATATGACTAACTAGTGGTTTTAGTTGGGGGTTAGTTATTAGTGAGGGGAAACGTGGGCTAATGCGGGTACTGGGAGCGTTGAGTTTCCCCCTTAGGGGAGTGGGAACGTTGGGAAGGCGCACCCTCCAGCAAGTGGCCCCCACTGACTCAAGCTTTGGCTCCTGTCGTAGTGTTCCTTGTTGCCTCCCGCCTTGGCAAGGATCGAGTGGCACTCTACGTCTTGTTTTTAGCTTGTTACTTGCTAATGTGCCGTCTTCGTGCGGACTTCTGGCTGCTGCTCCTGCGCTGCTGGCTTCGTGCATGCTTCCGCCTTGGGGCGGGTATCTCTGGTTGACGTTTCTCTCTGGGTGCGGGCTTCCTGTTTTCCGCCTCTGTCTCCGTACATGCTTCGCTGCTGCTGATCCTTCTCTGCTTCGGGCTTCGTTGCTTTCTGCTGCCGCCTTGGTGCGGGCTTCGTGCGGCTGTGTCCGCCGTGTGCAGTCTTCTCGATGTTGTGCCGCGTTGGTGCGGTCTTCCTGCTCCGTGGTCGCCGTGATTACGGCTAGTATTCCTCCGGTGTCAGGTGTATACTCTGAGTTGGCTGGGAAAGGCACTCGCACTTCCTCTGCTGGTTGCGTTGAAACGGTAGCCTGGTTCCTTCGAAACGGATTGTTTCGCACAGCGATCTCGTCCCGTGGCCCTAAAATACTGCTGGTCGGGGCAGCTTGAATCCCGTTGTTCGGGTCGTTGGTTGGTAATCCTGGTACCGTGGCTTCGCTGTTGTCTGTGGGTTCTGGAGCAAACGCATTTGTTAACACAGAGGGTAGAACTGAATTGGTCCTGGGGCTGGGTACTAGAAGAGGGTTCAGTTGCAGAGAAACGCGACCGCATTGAAGAGTTGCGGACACGCCACAGAGGAAGTCCATGCCCAACAGCACGTCTTCCACCATCAAAGGTAAAAATAAAAGTGGAAAGGTTACCCCTCGTTGGTCCAACTGGATTTTGGCTATCAGGGACTTCGTGATTTCCTTGCGCGAGCCTTCGGCCAGGCTGACATGGGTGCGTACCGACCGTACGTTATGTGGTGTCCCTACTCGTTGAACAACTCGTTCGCTCACGAAGCTTCTGCTGGCTCCGGTATCTATCGTTGCATTGAATATTTGACCCTCGATCTGTACCTGCGCGATGATTCTGCTATCCTGAACCTGTAAAACACGGCAGCACTCGTAAGTGCGTATTCCTCTGCGACCACAATCCCAGCAGAAGAGAATTCTGGGATTGCGACATGTGTATAAACGGTGTCCTTCCTGGGCACAATTCCTGCAAGCTAATCTACAATGCGGAACCATCGATATGTTTCCCACTCGAGAACCTAGTTGTGGAACTGCGGCGAGCGTAGGTGGTCGTCTGACAGGTCGCGTGACATTTTGGTAACTCGTTGATTGTGCTCCTGCATACGCTGGGGTCTCGTAGTCATCTCTTCCTGGTGGTGGCTGCAGTTCGGCCAGCATCCTTGCTTGGTTTCCCGTGGCTCGATCGCGGGTGTCTTCATAGTTTACCACTAAGGCGGTAAGTTGCTCCAAAGTCGTGAACTCGTGTCTCCTTGTAAACAGCTGGTATTCCGGTTGAAGATTTTCATAAATCCGCTCCAACTCCTGCTCTGGGTTGTATCCCGCTCTGTGCATCATGAGTCGAATGTTTACAAGGTATTGTTTGAAAGTCTCTCCTCGTCGCTGATGTCTGGCGCGGATCTCATCCTCAAGTCGCTGAAAATACCTGGGCGGCAGGAAGAAATCCAGAAACGCCTTCTTGAAGTTCGTCCACGATTCTCCTAGCAGCTGGCTTGTCCGAAACCAGTGTTCGGCCGTGTCTGTCAAGAGACCAGGGATGGTCTCTGCTTCCTGTGTTGGCATCTGAAGCTGCGTTGGACCCGGTGGGTGTGGATTCGGACTCGGTGTACGTTGTTTACTCTCAATTAACGCGGCTGTGATTTCCGCCTCGCATTCCTGCAGTCGCTCGGCTATCTCCAGCACATGATCGTCCCGATTATTAAATGCGGCCAACCGGCTCCTCATTTCCTCGACTGTTCCAGTTGCTTCCAAAGAAAACTCCTTTTGAATCGCCTCCAATTCTCGCTTCCGCAGATACGAAATCCAACGCGCGCCCATATTGCTGTGAAATAATTAGTCAAATGGCAAACGACAAGAAAAATTTCGATAGGTCGAGAGAAAAATTTCAGGCGAGGGTCAAGCAACGTTTATACTGGTTGAAAAATCTTCAGTGAAATATTGGGTTTTATTTGCCACGAGAATTTACTCAATGCCCACGTGCAACTAGGTTGAACCCAAATTCGATGTAAAAACGCCGATTTAATTCTGCAGCTCTCCTCGACGGCGATTAAATTTTTTGTTCGACGGCGATGTAAGCTTGTAAATGTTCACGACGATGATGAAAGTTTTATTCGACGATGTTTTAAATTTTCTTCGACGGAGATTTCAAGTTTATTCGGCGATGCTTTAGCTTTTATTCGACGGTGATCGAGACTTGGTAAAATTTCACGACGATGATTTTTGGTTCCTGTTGAAAAACTGCGACTGTACGCGTTGACTCGACGACGGTTGAAAGACAAGAGAAAACGATGTGATCCCGTTGACTGTACTCGATTGACTCTTGCTGGTGTGAGGGGGACGACGATTAGGGTGAAGGCCGAAAACAAAATGGCTGCGCTGTGGGGAATTTATGTTAGCATTTCCCTACCTCGTGCTTTTGAAACTCTCGCGGCCTGACTTGGCTACCTAGAGGGCTCTCGCTCTCTCTCTTTTGCTCTGCTCTGCTTATTTGCCTGTGTGCGTTTCCTCCCGTGCTTTTCTGGCCACGTGATCTTGAACTTACATAACCGCTTGTTTTTAGGTTATGTTCTCGCTGCTCTGACATTTACATGCGTTTGTCGACGTGTGCTAAAATTTTTTTTTTCCTCGCGTGTGGGGTATACTTTCTGCTAAAGTTCTCCCGAATGTACCATGCGCTTCGCTCAAATTCTAAGTTTTGTCGACTTTGAGGTTATGTAATATGCCCTGGATATATTTTATCAAAATATATATCTATATTTCCCTAGTTTTCTGCCCTAGAAATTTCTGTGTCCCTCGACATCCGACTCTCCTTACGTTCCGACTTAAAGTGGCGGAACCGAAAATTTTTCGAACTTTACGTATCCGGATGTGTCTTTAGGCCATATTTTCGTCGTCTAAAATTCGTAAACCCCATTTCCCTGTTCGGGCGCCATTCTGTAAGGAAGTTCTAAGGCTGGGGTAGGTCTCAGTCTCGTCCAGGTCCTCTTTATCAGAAAAATGTATAAAGAAATGGGACAAAAGGCATTTGACGTGCGGTAAACTGACGTGAGATGGTAGTTGTCAGTTACCGGGATACGAAGCCAGAGAAATGGCTTGTCCGGTCTTTGCAATAGAGCGAAATAATCGGTCGGGCCCATAGCAGACGCTATGGGGAGACCGAGAGAGGGGTCGATTATGGGGAGCACCGCTTCCTAGGGCAGAAGTTATGGCTTAGAAGCTAGGCATTTTGTGGTAATATATTCCGTGAGTCATGGCCAACGTGATTTGGGGTCGTCCCCTACGAGCAAATATTTAAATTTGGGTCGGAATAACCGGAAAAAAATATTTAATTTAGATTTTCTGTAATACATTTGCCGCGAAGATAAGGTCCACCCTTTTCGCCGGAATTCGACGTTGTAATAAAATATTTCATTATAAATTCCCAACTAAT